TTTTTTTGGCCTGAAATAGAAGCCCTGGTGTCACAGTGGTTATAGTCTGCTAACCAAAAAAGGTTGGCAGTTCAAACCCACCAGCAGATCCACAGGAGAAAGATGTGGCAGTCTGCTTCCGTAAAGATTTACAGCCTTGGAAACCCAATGAGGAAGTTCTACCCTGTCCTATCAGGTTACTATGAGTCAGAATAGGCTTGGCAGAAAGGGGTTTGGTTTGGCTTGGGTTCCTCCAATAAATCTTTTGATGAGTTACCATCTACCTAATGCCTTCTGGACTTTTTCTATTCATTGGAGAAATGGCACAAGACCTTCTTGAATGCTAGATTATGAATGTGGATCCCTGATTTAGTGGAATAGTTTATAAAAACTTCTCATAATCAGAACACTCCCTATTGGCTCCACACCTGAAGATTCCCAGGAGTGCTGTTTGTCCCAATGAACATCTGGAATAGATCACATGCAGTTAATTGGCTCCAGGTTGGGCTTGTTATAGACAGTAGCATGCAATATAACCTATGCAATTCACTAAATCCGCCACTTTGGGTTAAATCACACCTACTTCTCTATGTAATTCCTCCCAGATGGAGGACACACATACTTTGCATACATGTGCACAACACACACACATACATACACACACCTCCTGAAAGATAGCACAATGTCAATAGATTAGTGAAGACGATATTAGCAACACATTTAACCCATAAATACCTCAGTGAGAAGATTAACTCTTTAATTTAAAGGATTGCTGGAGAGAAAAAGAAATACTCCGGAGCAGCAGATTATAGAGAGTGATTGTTTTATAGTTGAAAAACATTTAAAGTTTAAAAAAAAAAATCCAGCAGTTGCAAGATTTTTGTTTTGTTTTGTTTTGCTCCTCCCCCAACTCTTAGCATATGTTTCAGCACGTGTAAGCACTTATCAGAACGTCTTACTGGTAAAGAAAGCAGTGCTTTGATTTTTAACTTATTTAACAATATTAATGAGTTAGGTTACAAGGAACAGTATGACTACTGTTCTTTGAAAACCAAAACATCAATCTTCTTAACTTATGGCGTTGGAGGCACAGGGCATGTCTTAGCGATTAATGACCAGTTGGAGGAGTAGATAACTCAATACACAGCTAAGGGCCATTAACCCCAACTTGTCATTAATTCCCAGGAAATGTCCTGTACTGAGGTCATTATTGGTAATAAAATGCACATATGGAAAGTTCCCTCTTTTGCCTGTGTACATAAATGTACATTCACATTATATGTATGTTACACGTCATGAAAAAGTAGTATTTTATATGTGCAGAAGTTCAGAATAACTAAGCCAACTGTGAAATTTAATTTAATGTAATTTAATATACTAAATCTCTACATTCAATTTACCTTCTACTGTCTCAGGGAATAGGAGTAGGAGGAGAATACATAGTTGTGTGTCAAGGAATAGTGAAGAAACAGGGAAGCACTGATGAATGTGGCTGGAACTAGCACATATGTAATAATCATGTTGAAAAGGCACTATGAAGTTAGGGTGTTGTTTGAATCATAATATATTGTTGTTGTTGTTGTTATGTGCCGTCGAGTCAAACCTGACTCATAGCGACCCCTCCTTGGGTTTCTGAGGCAGTATCACTACGGAAGTAGGATTGCCCAACCTTCCTTCCAAGGAGTGGCTGGTGGGTTTGAACCGCCAGCCATCTGGTTAGCAGGCAAGTGTCTTAGCCACTATGCTACCAGAGCTCCCCAGAATATATTAGGTACCAGAAAAAACGTGAAGCAAATTTAAGAGTTGGATCAAGTTCCCTTTTGGTATCTTGTCTTTTCCATTCCACTAGATTATGCTATACTCCTCCTCCCTTTTCCTCATTGGCATCTAACCAAGTCCAGCATGCTACCTACCTTGCTTTTCAGGCACCCTTAACCAGATATCACTGTTTTCTGGAACTGTCTCCTTTTGACTCCCTTAGAAGTCAGCCTTGTAAGATTTTTTTTCTGTGAGCTGGTGCTTGGGAAGACAGCAGGAACAGAGGGAAGGAAGAGAAGCTCAAGTCTCCATCAAGAATTTAAAATCACTTAAATAATACCAAAAGGATTAGGTACTCTAACCAAAATCATTCCATTTTAAGGCTAAAACTTGAATCTCAGGCCCCTCCCCAGGAAGTTAGATGGGTAAAAAGTTAGAAGTAAGAAGGTAGACTCTAGCTAGAGTCCCTACCAAATGTGATTTGATTCATCCCTGTGTGAGCTTGGGTGAACTATTTCATTGTGTACTTCAGTTTCTTCATAAAAGAATTAGAATAATAGTAATTGCCTACCTTTTATAGTTCTCATTAGAATGACATGATTTACCCGATGGAAAACACTTAAAAATTATCTGGTGCATATTGTTTTTGTTATTGTTGTTGTTACATGCTGTCAAGTCAGACCCAACTCATACCGACCCCTCCTTAGGTTTCCAAGATGGTATCACTGTGGAAGTAGATTGCCCAAGCTTCCTTCTGAGGAGTTGTTGGTGGGTTTGAACCATCAGCCTTCTGGTTAGCAGTCAAGTGTACCTTAGGCACTATGCTACCAGAGCTCCTGTTTTTGTTATTAGCTGCTTTCAAGTCATCCCCTGATTCATGAAGACCTCATGCGTGATAGAGTTGGACCATTGTGATTCCTAGGATTTTCATTGGTTGTTTTTTCAAATGTAGCTCATCAGTGCTTCCTTCCTAATGTGTCTTAACTTGGAAGCTCACTGACTTTTAGTCAGTATCATAGCAACACACAGCCCTCCACTGAGAGAAGAGTGGTGGCTGCATTTGATGCACATTGACCAGGACAAGTACTCAATAAATATAATTTGTAATTACTATTATTGAGATTAGTTTCAAAATATGTGACTTTTTAATTACTCCATGTCTTAACTAAGGCAGCCTATTTATAGTAAGTTAGTTTATAAGCACCTCCTTCCTTCTTATAAACATGAATTTTTAGTTTGTTCTTCCATTCAGCAGCACCCTGTGTGGAATAGTATAGGTTGAGGGTAATATGTGTACTTTTCTGGGCCTCACATCTCTACTTGTGGCTCTGATATGATCAAGTCCAATACTCCCAATTTTTGGTAGACTTTTTTCTTTTTCTTTCTCCTGTGTCTATTATGTCAGACACAAGAGAGGAATTCCCTCAGAGTAATAATTTTGGACTGTTTGCTTTTGTTTTGGGATCTTTTCCTTGGTGGTGATATGGGGTAAGAAGAGTAGGATTCTAACCAGTATTTTCATATAACCAAATAATTCATCCTGAGGTGTTACAGAAAGAGTTGGTAATTGTCATTAAACAAAAACTTTACTAATAAAATGAAGGCTAATTAACATTAATAGCTTAATTTTTAGTGGTTCAAACATTTCTATGCCTGATTAAATTCAGTCCCAAATTTCTTATAGTCAGTTCTGAGTCACTTTGCTTTCAATAGTTTTGTCAGATAAAAACAAGAAGAGGAGATATTATGTTTAAAACTCTGCATATATTCCAGAAATTAAAATTTAGTAAACCTAGAAAATCCACAAAATACTATGTTAATAGCTCTTTTCTTGTTTTTTAGATTAAACTAACACTGAAAGAGAGCCTTGTTTTCATCATGAATGCCATGAAAGAAAAAGTCCTAAAGTCCAGTAGCCAAGATTTTCACCTTTTTCCTGCCTTGATGATGTTAAGCATGGTGATGCTGTTTCTTCCAGTTACTGGAACTTCTAAGCAAAATATTCCACGCCTCAAGCTAACCTACAAAGGTAAATATGTACATATTTTTCAGATTGTTTATTAACATTTCCATTTTTTTTATCTGCTGTACTTCTTTTATTTAGAAAGGCTTGTTGACTTCAGTGAAATGTATATAGTATTGGCATTTGTTAATAAAAGTATTACTAGAGAACACAAAGTTCAGTTATTTATTGTATTTGTGATGGAAAAAAGATACCAAGACTATTATGTCCACTTTTCAGCTCAGTATTTATAATGATCAACTACTGACTAATGTAATTAGAAAATCCAGTGTGCAAGTTGTGATCAGTTTTAGATTAAAACCAATAACCCCTCAAAATAGGAAAGCGTTAACTAATTCCCATAATTAGTACTAATTAGTTTATCCCTAGATACAGAGGATTTATTTTAATCAAACTAGGTTATCTTCAAACAATTTCTAACACACAAGTATATCTTTAAGGTTTCAAGTATATATATGCATTTATTATAGAACAAAAGTATATGAAGGCCTAACATATAAAGAGATGAAAATGCAGTTTGCATCTCATATCCTCTTTTTTTTTTTGGCCAAGGTTTATGGCCAAAGATTTATTTCCTTTTATTTTTCTTTTCTATGATGTTCTCTTTGATTTCACTAATAATTTACATAGTGAGAGGAATGTAGGAAGAATCAGACATCAGACTCTTTTAGTCTAAATGTGGCAGGTAAAAATTATATGCTGGCAGTTTTACTGTTCTTTGATCTTTAAGAAAACTTACTTTCAGCCCAAATTAAATGTCAATAATGAGAGCTAATTTGATGGCAAATATAAATGGAATTAGTACATCATACGTATTACACTTTCATATGCTGGTATTTATTTGGAATTTATATTTAAAAAAAAAAAACACAAACAACACTTGCTGCCATCAGTCGATTCTGACTCATAGCAACCCCCATTGTGTTTCTAAGGTAGTAAATCTTTACAGTCGGTCTTTACAATATGTCTTTACAGCATGTTTGCCCTCACAGGAATAAGCCTTAGGCTGTTGATAGTGATTCTGTTTGCTCCCTATATGGCTGAAGGAGGCAGAAGAAGCCAACTCCATGCCCTTTTTGCATCTTCCTTCCACACAGCAGCTAGTGGGTTTCAACCACCCACCTTCTGGTTAGTAGTCAAATGCTTTAGGCACTGTACCAACAAAGCTCCTTTGTATCTCAAGTAGTAAAGATTTGAGGGAACTTGGATTATCTTTCAATTTGTACATTGTTACATGTGTAGAAATCTTTAATGGAAGTATATTATTAGTAACCAAGGATAAGATTTTATCTGTTGTTGTTGCTGTTGTTGTTACCTGCTGTGGAGTCCTCTCATAGCGACCCCTCCTTGGGTTAACAAGGCAGTATCACTACGGAAGTAGATTGCCCCATCTTCCTTCCAAGGAGTGGCTGGTGGATTTGAACCTCCAGCCTTCTGGTTAGCAGTCAAGTGCCTTAAGCACTATGCTACCAGAGATTTTATCTAGGAATATTGATTTCATTATGAAATATAATTGATCAATAATTAAGAATAAAAAGCTTTATCTGAGCACAATCCTGTTCTTAATCATAAGTTGCTCCAATTTTCCAACATTTGTCCAAATTTTTCTTGTTTCAAATGAACAGTAACACCTATGGTAAGGTATGTTGTTCTTGTTATGTGCCGTCAAGTCGGACCCAACTCATAGCCACCCCTCCTTGGGTTTCCGAGGTTTCTGTATAATCTACTGAAGTAGATTGCCCAACCTTCTTTCCAAGGAGTGGCTGGTGGGTTTGAACCACCAGCCTTCTGGTTAGCAGTCAAAGTGCCTTAGGCACTATGCTACCAGAGCTCCTATGGTAAGGTATAGGCTTCATATAAAAAAGCAAATTCAAGGCATCTGCCCATGTCAAAGCAGCTAGTACTGGACTATACCTTCCGCCATCGGAGGCATAGTAAGGTTTGGCAAGTATGGCACGTGGCCTGGAAGTCATTTGAAGAGGGGGTGCTACTGAGCACATTCTATTAACTATCGCAATTTCCATTGCCAGCTATGAGAGATCATTCAGCATATTAAAACTAATACTTTCGTATTTGAAAGCCTCCATGGATCAAGGGAAACCATGTGTGATCTTGCTCTGCTGGGTCTAGAAAGAGAAGAAACTGAAAGGAAAAAAAAAATGACTTTGAGCACATGATAGACTAGTTTGCATCAGTGAAAGCAAGGAAGGTGCAGTTGTAATTTTCATGTAGTGTTATAATGTGCTAAGGGAAAGATTAACAAGTTTTACTTGCATTTTTGAGCTGATAATATGGTAAAGTTATTTGAAAGGTGAGTGTCAGATGTTTGGACAGGGACACAACTTCAATGCTTGACATAGGAGTTATTTTTTCATAGTGTCAATGAGCAAAGAGAAGTTTCTGTTAAGACTAAAACAATTATTGAAGGAACAGCACAATCCAGATTGGGCAGTACTTTGTGAGGACTCGCAAAAGTATTCTGACAAATGTTATTTTTCACACAATTTAAGTACATAAAATCGAGGAACTTACAAGGAAAAAAAAAATTTGATGGGTTGGCATTTCCAAAATCATGTTCTGATAGACATTCCAAACTAAACCGAACTCCCTGCCATGGAGTTGGATCAGACTCACAGAGACCCCTCTTTGGGTTTCTGAGGCAGTATCACTATGTAAGTAGATTGCCCAACCTTCCTTCTGAGGAGTGGCTGGTGGGTTTGAACTGCCAGGCTTCTGGTTAGCACTCAAATGCCTTAGGCACTACTCCACCAGAACTCCTTAATAGATGATGCTGAAATCCTGAAAGCATGGTTTGGTTACTCATAAAGTTTGTGGCAGTTGAAACCTTGTTAATCAATGCATAGTTCAGGGGCCAGCCTGAAAGAATATCCTTCCCCAGATCACACTGTGACAGGAAAGTGGAGGGGTGAGATCCCACCCTCACTCCACCCCCACCCCACCTCCCCCCCACCTCCCTCCACTCCCACCCCCCACAGGCTTCCTGAGGTATACTGGCTTGTGGACTTCCAAAGTTAACTCAGAATAAGCAATAAATAAACCACAAAAATGGGTCCAGACTGCATCTTTGGCAGAAGCCTCTCCTTATGCCAAGCACCTAGTTCTTATGAGCTCCTTCACAGTACACATGCCTCTGTCTGCCATAAACAAGATGTAAAAGTGGATAAAAGTTTCAGACATCAGACAACAAGCAGTAGGAATGTGATACCTAAGAGAAGGAAACCACCAGGTAAGATTGCAAGACATGTAGAAACAGGAGGTTGGTGAGCTGAGCAGAGATATTGGAGGTCAAAGAGGGCTGAGATATATGGGTTCTAAACAGCCAGAATGAAAAAACTTCACTGAAGACTTTAGACACTCAGTTGACACCCAGAAAGGTTACACTTTAAAACTAGGTCTGTCTACTCTATCCCTAAAAGATACTATAAACTACCTCAACTTACTGCTGTTGAGTCGGATCTGACTCATAGCAACCCCTCTTTGGGTTTCCGAGGTAGTATCACTACAGAAGTAGATTGCTCAATCTTCCTTCCGAGGAGTGGCTGGTGGGATTGAACCTCCAGCCTTCTGGTTAGCAGTCAAATGCCTTAGGCACTGTGCCACCAGAGCTCCTAAAAGATACTATGTTGTTGTTGTTGTTAAGTGCCGTGGAGTCGTTTCCGACTCATAGCGACCTCATGCACAGCAGAACGAAACACTGCCAGATCCCGCGCAAGCCCCACAATCCCTGCTATACTCAAGCCCATCATCGCAGCCACTGTATCAATCCATCTCCCTGAAGGCCTCCCCCTCTTTCGTCGACCCTCCACCCTACCAAGCATGACATCCTTCTCCAGGGAATGGTCCCTTCTTACAACATGACCAAAAT